ACAATAATCAGAAGTATTCCAATCACACTGTAAATGAATTGTATATTCTAAACTAACTACTCTATCCCCTAGCCAGAGGACTGCTTGCCTAAGATCACTAATCTGGTTAGCTATATTCCGATCTATTTTTGTTTAAGAATTCCACAGTAAAGTGGCGTTTTTTTTGCCAATTGTTGACAAACTTAGCGGTTTGTCTGGAGGAGTGCAAGGTTTCTCTGGCCACAGCTGCTGTGGCCGTGACTGCAATCAGTCATAATAACTAAATTTAATATTAATCAGCCATAATAACTAAAATTAAACTTGCAATAATAACTAAAATTAAAATTATTAATCATCCGTAATAACTAAAATTAAAGTTGCAATAAATCTTCGAGTGTGTTTTAGAACCTTTGGTAAAATTTCAGTAAGAATATGCACTGAGGGAGATGCTTCCCAGGGATGAGACAGGTTTACAGGTAGCCAGATTCCCTCTCGAGCTCTGACTAATAGTATAGAGTTGTGAGAATTAAACATAGAAGCATTAACACTAGAAAAAAGCTTACAATTTTGGCATGTTACTTTGGAGTTAATAAAATCAATCTGTAACTTTCCCACCACCGAAAGATAAGGGGGTTTAACACAACTCTGTATCCAAAGAGTTTTATTTTTTACAATTTTGAATGAATAATAATTACTGGAACAGGATCTAGTATAGTTTCCTTTCCAGACTTTTATTGGTTTTAGGGCCATACGTATTTTCCAAAGTTCTTTCTGTTCAGTTCCCATTGTCGGCCAAACCATTCTTGGCTTAGGTTTTGTTATGCCCCCAATTCTCCAAACAATAGAGATGTTAGTCTCAGTGTGCATTGACTCAGGACTGTTATTTTTTACGTACCACCTAACTGACTCCATGTCACAACAAGAGGGCTGACTTATGCAATTAATGCTAGATATCCCCTTAGAGGACCAATCAATAATAATTCCATGGGAATCATTGCGCAGCACCTCAACCTCTGCTGCGACACAATCTTCCCAAATTAATATTTTTGACTTAGGGGACCATTCTTCATTTGTCTGCATTCAGGTTTGGGTGGGCAAAACATTGTTGTTTTATTTCCCAAATTATCATAAGAAACACCAAGGCCAGAAGTCATATACAACTGAGCTCAAGTGTGATTTTTTTTTTTTTCAGGTACTATGGCTGGCCGTGCCTGAATTTTTTATTTTAAACATCCTTTAGCTGCTCTTAGGCATAGGGTAGATGTTCAAAACCAAGAGAAATATTCATCAAAGTACCTTCTTCTTGAGGATAAGACAGGCCATGATTATCTATCAGCTCCAGCATCCACAAGCTATCAGTACTGTATACATCCACCGAGGGGGTGGGGGGGTCTAACCATGTCATAGGTCGCAACAGAGGAGGGAAGGGAATATATGCCCAATAAGTGAAATTTCCTTTTACTTCTGTAGTTAAGTGAAGCAGTGGAGTGGAGAAGGAGCAAAGACATCTGTAACTGGTTGTGATCAATTAGTTGTAAACACCGCTGCACTAGGATCAGCCGTGCTTGATTTTTTTTTCTACATTCTTTCTTTGTATGGCCTCTCCTTCCACAATTAATACAAACTTAAAGGAAAGGCATACCTCCTTTGTTTATTTTTAAACCTGCTATAACTTATGCATGTAAAGGAGCCCATGCACCAATTCCTGTGAGCTGTTCCGTGGTAATATAATTGGAGACTGAGCGTTGGCATTCATATTAGCTTGAACATTAGCCTCATCAGCCCACCAGATCTTAAATTGTAGGAGTTAAGAAAGAGATAGGCAAGCTGGAGTTCAAGTGTCCCAGTCAGCAGGAATTAATTTGAGAGGTGGCCACATTTTTTAACAGTCCCGTAACAAATGGAGATCCTACTTATCTTTGGATATAGCTAAATTAAAAGAGAATTTAAACAATGGCTTGTTTAAATTCTTTTAAAAGTTTAAATGGAAAAGGCTCAACTGTTTGGCTATACCTAAATTAAATGAGAATTTAAACAATGGCTTGTTTAAATTTTTTAAAAAGTTTACAATGGAAAAAGCTCAAGTATTACTTGAAACTGTTCTTGTTGATTTGGGGGTTATGTCACAACAGGAAACTGCCAAGCCTCTAAATCTCTGTCTTTACTACAAGCCTGCTGAATTCCAGCCTGAACAGACCCAGTTACTGCTGTGGAGGGTGTGTATACAGCCACTGGAGCAGCAAGTTTCACTTTCAAAACAGCCTCCGATTCTTCTAATGTCAGGTGAATCTGGCCACTCCTCGGTGAAATGCTGAGGAGGGACTGACGGACAAACTCCTTCTTTTTCCTCATTTATTCTTTCTTTTTTCTTAATTGGGTTATCTTTAATTTCCTCATCCCAGTTATATTCTCCTTTGTCCCCTGAATCTTCCTTCTCATAATCAGTTTGAAATGGCTCTAATGCTGAATGCACCATTGCCCAAACTGACCATACTGGGATTGGAATATCCTCAGCTCCTTCTTTATATGCCTTTTTAAAAGTAGTACCCACTTTTCCCCATTCTTCTATGTCTAGAGTTCCCTGCTCAGGAAACCAAGGGCAATATTTTTCAACTGCCTTAAAAAGCTGTGTTACGTGGCTAGTACTAACTTCAATTCCTCCTCTTTTAAGCAAATAATGAAGCAAGCTAAGATAGCCTTCGTGTTTGCTTGAAGCTTGTCCCATTGCGTCCCTGACCTTCCGAGCTCCCCCAACTTACCCTGGAAGATTTTTTCAAGAGTTCTCAGGTGTCCTTCAGCTTAAATTTATTTCTCCTTTTTCCTGTCACTCAGGCAACCCTTTGTCCTCAGTTTGAGTTCCACGCTTGCGCACCCCTTGCCGAGACCAGCTCGGTGGAAGAGACCCCAACCCATGCGGCACTGAAGGAATCGAGAAGCAGAAACAAAGATAGAGTGCAAAAGTGGGATCAGAGTGGGACCATCAGGGGACTGACAGCATTTCCCAGCTGACAGCCCAGAGCAGACACTGACCCACATATTTATTCTTTGTGAACAAGTGATTATTTTTAATAAGCAGATGCTCAGTGTTTCTTCGTAGAATAAGGATAGACTAAACATGCAGATAGTGCCTGTTCACTGCTAAAATAGAAATAAGCTAGAAAGCACTCTTTGTGAGTCAGCAATGGGGACAAGGTCAAATATCCTGTGTTTTGGGAGCTGATTTAACTAGTGCATGACGGTACATACTGCTTACTATTCTAGCAGTTTTCTGCCTGGGGATGGCTCGGTGTTCCTTGCCATCACCTCTCAGCAAACAACATATACTCCGTCACACACATGTCAAGACCTCCTGCCAACAGGACATAAGGGCAAAGAGTAGCAGGGGCTGCCTACCTACCCTCTTTGCCGTTCCCAGAGGCTTTAAAGGATTACCGTAGGGATTTGAGCTTGTTAAGTAAAAACTCCGAGAGGCCATTGTTTTGGACTAAGCTCCTGCACTAGGTCCCAGTAGACTAGACTAAACCAAAATGGAGTCTGCCATAGTAAAGTTCCATGTCCTCAAACCTAAACTAAGTTGTTATCCGACCTTTGAGACTCCAGGAGAGAGAGTTAGCAGCCAAATTCCTCAACAGGCCAGTTTCAGTTGGCGTGATAATGCAGACAATAACCATGCTCATTAAAGTTCCCTGTGTTTGAATCATTACAAAAAAGTAACCTGAAGAAACCTGATGTCAACCACCCTGTTCTGGCCTTATACAGAAAGTAACTTAGAAATGACTAATCTGGCTGGGCATGGTGGTTCACGCCTATAAGCCCAGCACTTTGAGAGGCCAAGGTGGGTGGATCACAACGTCAAGAGATCAAGATGATCCTGGTCAACATGGTGAAACCCCGTCTCTACTAAAAATACAAAAATTAGCTGGGCATGGTGGCGCATGCCTGTAGTCCTAGCTACTCAGTAGGCTGAGGCAGGAGAATTGCTTGAACCCAGGAGGTGGAGGTTGCATTGATCCAAGATTGCACTATTGCACTCCAGCCTGGGTAACAAGAGCGAAACTCTGTCTCAAAATAAAAAAAGAAAGAAATGACCAATCTGGCCCTGTGAGGTGGTTCACGCCTGTAATCCCAGCACTTTTGGAGGCTGAGGCAGGTGGATCACTTGAGCCCAGGGGTTCCAGCCCAACCTGGGTAACATACTGAGACCCTGTCTCTACAAAAAATACAAAAACTAGCCAAGTGTACTCCTGTAGTCCTAGCTACTTGCAGGGCTGAAATGGGAGGCTCACGTGAGCTCAGGAGATTGAAGCTGCAGTGAGCCATGATTTCAGGATGGCACTTCAGTCAGGGTGACAGAGTGATAACCTGCCTCAAAAAAAAAAAATCAATCTTCTTTTTGTTCTTCATTTATTTATTTATGCCTTCCAGAGCCCTTTCCTATCTATGAAACTAACCTCTTCTACCCAGCTCATTGGAAAACTCCTATTTTACGGACTGAATCTGTTCCTGATTCAATGAACCTATTGTCTGATTCTAAGACTGCCAATAACACTATTTGAGACCTTTAAACTAAATTTGTTGTAATCTGGTGTTTCAACAGGCTGTTGCTCTGAAGGAGGTAGTAGTGAAGGTCGAGAGTGTCAGGATCACTCTAGCTGCTGGGTGCAGATGAGACGGGAGGAGAGGAAGAAATAGGAAGCACAGTGGCCAGTTGGAAAGCTATTGCAGCAATTCTCCAGCCTGGCCAACATGGTGAAACTCTGTTTCTAATAAAAATACAAAAATTAGCTGGGCACAGTGGTGGCAGGTGCCTATAGTCCCAGCTACTCGGGAGGCTAAGGCATGAGACTCACTTGAACCTGGGAGGCAGAGGCTGCAGTGAGCTGAGATCTCACCACTGCACTCCAGCCTGGGTGACAGAGCAATAGAGTGAGACCCTGTCAGAAAGGAGGGAGAGAGAAAGGGAGGGAGGAAGGGAGAAAGGGAGGAAGAGAGAAAGGAAGGGAGGGAGGGAGGGAGGGAATATTACAGCAATTCAGAAAATAAAGTGTGGTGTCATGGAGGAAGAAGGCAGGGGTAAGCAAATGCTGCTGGTAGTTGAGAACTGAGAATTGACCACTGGGTTTAGCAACATGGTCACTGAGGCCCCTGGAGAGAGCACTCTCAGTGGATGTCCAAATTAGCTGGTTCCCATCTGCTCCCACCAGACCGCGGTTTGGACACTCAGGCTGCTTTATTCCCCACATCCTCCTCGTTAGGGAAGTTCTCGGTCTGCCTCTCCCCAAGGTCATTCATGCCAGTCATTTCTTCTTGGGCAGAAAGACTGCTGCTCTCAGTACAGCTGGGCAATGAGGCCTGGGCAGTGCCAGGTGCCAGATGCCGTCCAAGCACAGCAGCCAGGAGTGTCTTCAGGTACCGGCGGAAGCGGCGACTGGAGAAGGCGTACAGGATGGGGGAAAAGCAGCAGTGAAGGAAGGCGATGCTCTCTGTCACCTGGAGTGCATAGTCTAGGTGCTGGCTGACCTTGCAGTCCCCGAATACTTGCAGGTCCAATAGCGTATGCAGAAATAAGGTGACATTGTATGGGAACCATAGCACGAAGAAGGCCACCACCAGGGCTACAGCTATTTTTAGAGCCCTGCCCCGGCCTGGCGGCCTCAGCGTGACCAAGACACAACCAATACGGGAGTAGAAGAAGATCATGGCAAGGAGTGGAAGGAGAAACCCTAGGAGGTTCTGCTGGAGGCGGAGGGAGAGCTTCCAAATGGTCCCATGCCCACTGAAATCTGCATGGCAGTTCCACACACCCTTGGGGTATTCATGTGTCTGTACAAAGACCATTTCAGGGATAGAGGTGGCCAGGGACACAGCCCATATTATGGTAACAAGAAGCAGGCTCTTGGCCCGGGTCCTCAGCCTGGGGTAGGGCTGAGCATGGACGATCTCCAGGTACTTGTCCAGGCTCATGCAGCCAATGAAAAAGATGCCACTGTACAAGTTAATAGTATAAAGAGTGCTCACCATTTTGCACAAGAAACTCCCAAAGAACCAATGCCAGGCCACAGAGATGCCCCAGAAGGGCAGTGTCACCACAAACAGGAGATTGGAGATGGCCAGATTCAGCAGATAGACCTCAGCCATCCGCCTGCGAGGCACATACCGGAGCAAAAGCATGAGAAGAAGGAGGTTCCCGCTCAGGCCCAACACAAAAATCAGGCTATAGAAGACTGGCAGGAAGATTTTGCTAAAGGACACCACCGCATCCTTCCTGCAGAGCATGAAGGCCACCTCGTCCAGGTAGTCATAGTCATAGAAGCTGCTGTTCTCCGAACCGGCATCCTCCGTGGTGAGTCGCTGCGGAGAGGCAGTGGCAGCCATGTTGGGAGGAAATGCCCAGTCCCGATGTCCTGTAGTGGTGTTGGGGGAACAATATGGTGAGACCTAGCATTCTCTACCTTTCTCTAAACCCACTTTTGCTGCTGCCCTGGGATGTCCAATAGACTCTTCAAATCTACATCAGCATCTGCAGTCCAACAATTAAGAGCACAAGCCTGGGGAGCCATCTGCACCACTTCATGGGTCTGTTATCCAGATATCCCCTCACCTGTGTCTTTTTTTTTTTTTTTTGAGACAGAGTTTTACTTTTGTTGCCCAGACTGGCATGCAATGGCATGATCTCAGCTCACGACAACCTCCACCTCCCGGTTCAAGTAATTCTCCTGCCTCAGCCTCCCAAGTAGCTGGGATTACAGGCATACACCACCATGCCCAGCTAATTTTGTATTTTTAGTAGAGACAGGGTTTCTCCGTGTTGGTCAGGTTGTTCTCCAACTCTCGACCTCCAGTGATTCGCCCACCTAAGCCTTCCAAAGTGCTGGGATTACAGGCGTGAGCCACCACGACCGGCCACCTTTGTCTTATAACTGAATCCCACTTACTCTGGGACACTTACTGTTGGATAAGTGACTAACCTTTAGATGTTCCCATTTAATTATTTCCTTATGATTTTGTTGCTTTATTTTTCTCCTATGTTATTTTTTTAAAAAAACTTACAGTGTCTTTCAAATCTTTATTCTGTAGGGATATCAATTCACCTATTTAATGTGTCTCCTGACCCTTCCTCATGTGTGGTCTATTATTATTTTTTTAATGACAGCTTATCTTCAGTGGGGCTTGTTTTATCCATAAATGTCCAATATATCCACCCTGGCTTTGAGTTTTCTTTACTCCTGTCACCTGAGGATTTCCCTAGCTTTTTGAGAGTTTTAAAATGTTTTATTTGTAAATAGCGAGTTTTATATCAATACTTTTAATGACAAATATTTAATATTTTAAATATTTTATCCAGTATTTCTGTTTGCAGCAAAAGGTGTGATCCGTCATGCTGATAGACTCAGCACCCACTAAACTTTCCCACCTCTCAGTTTCCTCATCTTTAAAATGAAAATAATAACAGTGCCTATCCTGTGAGGTTCTTGTGATGCTTAAATGTGATAATACATGCGGAGCACTTTAAGTTCTACAAAAGTGACTGGAGCATAGCAGACATTCAGTAAATGTGAGCTTAAATTATTGCTTTGCCCAGAACTGAGTTATTCATCTCCCCACCAGCCCCTTTCTTCTTTCCTAGGCCTATCTAACTGAATGACTCCACCAACTACTCAGTCACCTAAGACTGAAACATGAGATACCTTGCAGATTCTTTCCTCATCACCCTCACCCCCACCCTGTGAGTTTTTCCTTTTCAATCGGCCCACCTATCTCCAAGTCCCATAAAAATATGTACATGATACTCTTTTCATGAAAGTAAGACAAATGAAACAAAAAATACATACTTTGAAGGAGTACAAATAGATGACAGGAAGGCGGAGGAACGACAGGCACCAAATTCAAGATGGCAGGTGCCTGGGCAGGAGAAGCCAGTGGCATCGGATGGGGGTGGAGCTATGACAAGGGACAAGTCACTGTCCACAGTCAAGTGTCCTCTGAGGCAGTGAGATCCCAGGATTTTATTTAATTATTTAAAATAATTTTTTTAAGAGAGCTTCACATAAATCAGTGATACAAGTACATGATGAATGAAGAAATATTTTCAAACCTGTAGTGTGTTCTGGAGAAAGGGAGGGAGAGAGGAGAGAGACTTCATGTTGAACAAAGAGCATTCACCAATGGGTAAGGGGGCTCTAGGAGGAGAGAGGAAGGAGATAAAAAAGAGAATGTGGCCCAAGCAGGCAATTATGAAGAGCCACTGCAGAGGGGACTGTAGACTGCTGACTGTCACGGGCACAGACTGAGAAATGCAAATCAGCTCTACCCCATACTTCTGGATTTTATTTTTTTTATATTTGACTCCTGTGAACTTGAACTTTTTCTTCTTTCCGAGATGGAGTCTCACTATGTTGCCAGGCTGGAGTGCAGTGGCACAATCCCAGCTCACTGCAACCTCCACCTCCCAGGTTCAAGCGATTCTCTTGCCTCAGCTTTCAGAGTTGCTGGGACCACAGGTGCTCGCCACCATGCCAGCTAATTTTTGTATTTTTTAGTAGAGACGGGGTTTTACCATGTTGGCCAGGATGGTCTTGATCTCTTGACCTTGTGATCTGCCTGCCTCAGCCTCCCAAAGTGCTGGGATTACAGGTGTGAGCCACTGCACCTGGCCAAGCTTGAACTTTTTAATATGCTCAATGCCCCCTTGTATTTCTTCTATGAATCATTCTTTTAATAGGTAGATTGCTGATTTTATGAGGTCTTATAATAGTGAGGATGTTAGCTTTTTTCATATATATTGCAAATGTTTTCCTTAGCCCTTTCTGATAAAAGTGTTACTTTTTTTTTTTTTTTTTTTCAGGTAGACTTTGAAAGAAATGTTGACTCAGGTTCTCAGTTGACCCATGGTATCCGTTGTACTATGACCTCATGGCTGGTAGAACCATTCAGTGCTGCTGAAGCAGAACCTCTCTTGCAGGAGCCCTAGAGTCCTCCCAGTCTGTGAGCATCTGCCCCACCCTTGGGCTCCTATCCAATGGCATCTGGACCAGATCCTGGGGAAACCACACATGCCCTGTCCCCATCCCAGGAGCTCAGCCTGAGTGGCTTTTTCTGTTTCTGATCAACCTAAGGAACTTTACCCAGTGCCTTTTTTCGCTGGTCTTCCTGTCCCCTTCTCTGCACCAGGGCCTTCCTGGCCTTCAGCTCCTCCCTTTCCTGGGCAGCAGTAAGGACACCCGTAGCATATGGCTCATGCTGGAAGCCTGTGAGCTGCTGCAGAAGGAGGATGTGAGGGGTGTACTCGGGTCTAATCAGGGCTTATTATTCAGGAGTTGACATTGGTTAAACACCAGCTCTTCTGAGCTGCTGACGTGGACCTTGATCTTGACTTGATTTCTCAAAATGCCTTGACTTTTGTTTTAGCAAACAACGAAGTCTGACAAATGTTTCAATCAAAGCCAGAGGTCACAGTCAGCAGAACCTGCTAGTCCAGGCCGCCTTTGTTCTCCGTCTACGTGGAACACTCTATCCGCTTCCAACTCGAGGCCTTTAGCCTCCTGATCTTTCACTCTGGGAATCTGTTAGAACGTCATCTCCACCTCTGGGGCAACAATCCTCCTACCACTTTCATCAATAAGGCCAATGACATTTTTATTGCATTTTATCACAAAGTGGCAACAGCAGTCAGGTCTTTACCCCTGATCTTTCACTTCGGGAATTTTTCTAGGTCTCCCTCATCGCTGGAACAATGATCTCCTCCTATCTCTTTCATCAATAATGCCAACGACAATGACAACAGCAGTCAGCACCCCCATATGCACGTTACAGCTGGCCAGGCACCTTCGTATGCACTGCGGTAGTCTCGTAAGGCAAATCAGGAAGGAACTGTCAGCCCCATTTAACCCAGGAGCAAAGCAACTTTACCAGGGTCACACAGGAAGTCACTAGCCACATTGCATCTGAAATCCAGGTCTTCAGACTCCAGGCACATGGTGCCTTGTCCCTGGTCCTACCTCCGTTCTGCCCTACCCAGCAGTTACGAAAAGAGGTCACTGAGAAAGGTGTGATTGAAGGCCAGGCACGGTGACTCATGCTTATAATTCCAGCACTTTGGGAGGCCAAGGAGGTTGGATCACCTGAGGTCAGGAGTTCAAGACTAGCCTGTTCAACATGGTGAAACCCCATCTCTACTAAAAATACAAAAATTAGCCAAGCATGGTGGGGCACACCTGTAATCCAGCTAGTTGGGAGGCTGAGGCAGGAGAATCACGAACCCGGGAGGTGGAGGTTGCAGTGAACTAAAACTGCACCATTGCACTCCAGCCTGGGCAACAAGAGTGAAATTTGGTGTCAAAATAAAGAAAGATGTGATTGAGTCTTGGTTCGTTGCCCAGGATCTTCCCCTCATTGGGAGTTATGCCGGGTTCACCTCCCTTAGGTCTCTCGGGGAAGTCACAGTTGAGGCAACAAGAGGAAGGATACTGTGATGAGGAGGCAGCCATGTTAGTTGGGTTCCTTCTACGAGTTGAACATGCACATGTAATTTTCTCACCTTATCTTCACCATAGTCCTGGGAAGCAAAGCGATTATAATCTTCACTTTCCAGATGAAGAAACAGGTGTGGAGAGGTGAAGCCCAATTGTTTACAGCCTCAGATTAGCAAATGGTGGGCGGGGCATTGGATGGCCCTCACAACATGAGGTGGAAATGGTGACCCCTTCCCCCCGCCACACACCCTTTCAAAATGGACCTTGAATTTGAAGCCTGAGGCTCCAACAGTGGGAATTCTGGCCTCAGCAACTAGTGGCAGGAAGGTTCAAAGCCAATGGTAGACTGAGAGCCAATCATATGGCATCCGGGAGGCATTAAACAAATGATCATGGAATTAACCAACTCTGCCTTCAGTGATGTTAAGTTGGTAGCTTGAAATTGAGAAAATTTACATCATGGCAAATGCTATAAATCAAGGCTTTCCTCTCTCTCCTCTGCCATCCTGCCTCCCCTGTGCCTCCAGCCCAGAACGTTGTCAAATTTTCACCAGCACTCCCCTGATTAGGCCCCCACAGAGCTTGACTGGACCCTGCCTGACCCACTGAACCCTCTTTTGTGTCTCCCACCATCTCCCCTCTTCCACCTTAAACATCAATTTCACGACCATCTTCCCCACAGCCAAGAACCCTATGGGCAGGGTCACCTGTAGGTCCCCCAGGTGCTGAAAGCACACCCATGCTGAGTGCAAGTGTCCTGTTCACAGTGCAGCTAATTCCACATGCAAGCTGATCAAATAAACAAGACTAAATGTGACCTCCAGAGGCCACACCAGCTTTTGAAATATAAAATCAAGAACACCATTTGAGATCACTTCTAGTGAAAAATACTTTTGCTGGCTTCCTTTGAATGTGGAAAACATATCCTCCTTTAAAATACAATCTAAATCCTCCCCTCCCAGAACCCTGCCTGGGTTGGTGGCCTGGGGAAACCCCTGCCCCAGCCCCTGCAAGCACTCACAGAAGGTCACTCCTCAGTCACAGTGTCCATCACCTGGAAGCAAGACTGCCTTTTGAAGATCACCTGCTTCCCCTGCGAAACTGAGGGCTCCGAGGATCTGCAACTGTGTTCCCAGGACTCACCAGCACAGGGCTGGCATCGGAGAGGCGTTCAACACCCGGCAGTGGAATTAATTAACACAGTCTCGTCTCCCCCTCCATTCTGTCTCCTGACTGTTCCCTTTTCTGATTTCCCACTTCCCTACCACGGGAGCCTGGACACAGCTGAGCCAAGACTCTCCTTCTCTGAGTACATTCTCCAGCCTGGGCCAGCTCTGCCTTAGCAGCGTTGGGAGCCTGTGATCAAGGAACGTTATGAACCCTAAGCCCACGCTGTTTCCACTTGAACCGTGTTCAAGTGCCGCCTCCCGCTGGTGCAGCCTCCCTGGCCTGTGTCACGGGAAGTGGCCCCGTGTCTACCCCAATCCTCCCTTGGGACTCCTTTTGCTCCTCTGATTGCTTTTGGGAAGATTGGGGTGGAAATGGGGTCCCAAGGCCTGAATTCTGTCCTCACTCAGCATGGGACGGTCCACCTCTGGTCCTCTGCCTTTAACTCTGGGACTCCAATCCCATATTCCTGGCCCAACTGTGGCTGGAAAAGTTGAGGCAGGAGTCATGAAGTGATTCAGACTCTGACCACAGTGTCTGGCTGTGGAACACCCTCTGGCCCTGGAAGAGGTGCGTAACTGGATGGGCACACATACCAGGAAACCTGCCTTTGGGGGATCTGGTACCAGTGTTGAGATCTCTCTACTTGCTTCTTCTTGGGCTTGGGAAAACACCAGCTAAACTGTAATTTCATCTATAATAATAATAACAACACTCAGCATTTTTACAGCACTTACTATGGGTCCTGTTCTCATGCATTAATTAATTTCATTCTTTCAGTAACACTATGAGGCTGGTAGTATTCCTATCTCTATCTTACATAGGAGGTGACTGAGACACAGAAGGGCTAAGGAACGTGCCCAAGGCCACACAGCTATTAAATACCTGAGTTGGCTGTCTGGGCAGAAAGATATAAAAAAATAAAATAAAAATAAAAAATACGTGATCTGGGATTTGAACCCAAGCTCAGAGACCAGGCTGGCTCATTAGAAGATGGAGCAAAGACCAGCAAGTACTGGGATGATGGCTCATGCCTATAATCCCAGCACTTTGGGAGGCTGAGGCAGATGGACCATCTGAGGTCAGGAGTTCAAGACCAGCCTGACCAACATGGTGAAATCCCATCTCTACTAACAATACAAAAATTAGCCAGGCATGGTGACGCATCCTTGTAATCACAACTACTAAGGAGGCTGAGGCAGGAAAATTGCTTGAACCCAGAAGGCGGAGGTTGCAGTAAGTGCACTCCAGCCTGGGTGACAGAGTAAGACTCCATCTCAAAAGAAAAAGAAAGAAAATGGAGCAAAGAATGGCACTAGAGATGGAGAAACAACAGGAGACCAGGATGCTATTACATAGGACACCTGAATGGAAAGCTGCTCAGAAGGCCGATGGTGCATGCATAGAAAAGTCAGTGAGAGCCACACATGGAGGATGTGAGGAAAACGGTCTAGATGCTCGGAAATGGCATGCTAGGGAGAGAAGCTCGTGGATGATCAGCTCAGAGGTAGAACTGCACCTCCTACTTCACTGGTCAGTTTGGGATGCACTTGAGCTTAAACCTCCAGGCTCTGCTGGCCCCAAGACAAAAGCAAGGCTTCCAACCAAAGGCCTTGACTTCCATGAGTCAGTTTTCTCATCTATAATATGCACAATGCAATGAAGAACTTTGTGAAGATTCAACCTGATGTCATCATTATAACAGCACTATGGAGTCCTGACCTTTCTGCTGGGCCTGGGGTAAGGGCTTTAAATGTATTATTTAATCCTCACATTTAACTGATAGAAGTAAAGACTATCATTAGCCTTGTTTTAGAGCTGAGAATTCTAAGACACAGGGAAGTTAGAGAACTGGCCCAAGATCACAGAGCAATTGACTAGTAGAGCCAGGATTTGAAACCGGGTGTCCATGCTCTTAAATGCTAGGTTACGATACAACTCAAAGAAAATAGTAAGCACAGCCAGGGGCAGTGGCATGCATCTATAGTTCCAGCTACTTGGGAGGTTGAAATTGAAGGATTCCTTGAACCCAGGAGTTTGAGACCAACATGGGCAACATAGTGAGACCATATCTCAATAATAATAATAATAACAAGGTTGTGGATCCCCTCCCGTGAGCTTTTTAGGTAATAATGCACTGACTGCTCACAATAACTTTATAAGATGGGCCCATTTTACAGATGAGGAACTGAGACTCAGAGAGGGAGAGTAATGTGCCCAAGCACACACAGCAAGTTTATGGCAGGACTGGAAACCAAGTTCCTGTAGCTAGCTCCAGAGCTGGAGCCCCAAATCACACATTGAGAGTTCAGCCTGTGAGCGCCCCTTCCTAGGGCTTGCAGGATGAACAGCTGCCTTCTGGATGGTCTACATGGAAAGTATATTTGGATTGTGATTTATAAAACGACATGAAGACAACAGGAACCAGTCCTGACACTTACACAGGGCTTTGTGTCTCCCGAGACACTTTTTTAGCCCCAGTCATTGCTGTGTCTTCCTGGCTCCCTTATGAAGGGATGGACAGGTATGCATCCCCTCTCTGGTTTCCCAGGAAATCCAGGGCCTCACTGCAAGCCAGGCATAGCTGGCCAGAGGAATCAGCTGGCCCTGGATTCCAGATCACTGCACACTCTCTCTCTTTACTTTTTTAACATGTTATTTTTCCTGATTATCATAATAAAATACAGCGGAAAAATAGAAAGGAGGCCAAAAAACAAAAAAACAAAGCTCCCCTGTGATGCTACCATTGCAAAAATAACCCGCGGGAACATCTTAGTGTATCCTGTTTGTCTGTTTTCATGCCCAGAGCCACATCTGCTACACTAATGCTTATGGATTTGTGTAATCAAAAAGTCTGGCTGGAAGGGAGTGGCCTCGTCCAGTCCTCAGTGGGGCAGGCATCCCCTTGCAGCCTCCAGCTAGACATAGCCATCTCCTGCTCATGAGATATGTGAGGCCCGCCTGCTCCCCATGCTCCCTGGGACCCCACATTACTCAATGTTTCCTGGCCCTTGTCAGGAAACAGAGATGTTTGTGACATGTATAAAATCACAAGAGTAACCCTCCTCCCAAAGCTTATTTCAGCTAACAAAAAGTAAGCACTTTTAGAGCCTGACCCTTCAAGGAGCTGCTGTAGAAGGTGTGACTTTCGTGTCTTTCCCAGAATGTTTTTTGATGTTTTGTTTTTGCCTCTCTCCTTGTTGCCTGAAATGTTCCCATGAGAACTTCTTGCATGTGTATTTCAGCATGACGTCGGGCTCAAAATGAAACACCCCACCACCCACAGGAAGGGCGGCACACTTAGCATGGTAGAATAGACAGAATACAGCTGAATTCACTTCTTAATGGCTGTGCAACTCCAAGTTCATAATTTAACCTGTCTGAGCCTTAGTTTTCTTACTTATAACATGCCTCCCTTGCAGGGTTATTATGGTAA